CCCTGCCAGTTATATTGTCTGCCATTAACGAGGAGCATTTTGTCTCTGACAACTTTGTAACTGCCTTTCAAGTAGTTGCAGGCTGCTATTAAGATTACCCATTAGCATCTTCCTTGTCTAACTGAAAAAGTCCAGGTCCGTTGACCTCTCCTTGTGGGTCATGTGCTCTAGGCCCCCAGCCATCTCTCCATCTCAACACCTTTCTTGAACTGAGTGGGTCTAACACTGGATGCAATATTTCAGATCTTACAGCACAAATACTGAGTATAGGATGATAACCTTCCTTGATCTGCTGGCCATACTCCTGCTTGTATAGTCCCATATGAGGCTTGTCTGATTTGTAGTAAGAGCACCTTGTTGGCTTGCATTCAACTTGGTGTTCACAGTAACCTTGCTACTCATCCAGCTGGTTATAAGCCTCTAGTGATTTGTGGGATTATTCTGCCTCAGGTGCAGAAATTTAGACATTTCTTGTTGAACTTAGATTCCAGGTGGCCAGACTTTCAAGTTTCTAAAGGTCTGTCTGAACTGAAACTGTACTGTTTTGTATGCCAGTTGCTCTCGCTAATTTAGTGTTATGAACAGTTGTAGTGGAAATTAAGACTCATGGCTTCCTCTGTCATTGAAGGTTTTTTTTAACCCTAATTCAGAAAAAAAAAGTTGGAAGTATCAAAATTATATAAAAAATTATATAAAATGAAGTTTTGAACAGTTTCAGTATCTCACTTGCTGTAAACTTCATTTGAGTAAACAATATCATATACTTTTTTTTTTCCCCCCTCCTATTTTTTCCTGTAATTTCACACCCTGCTGCATGGCACTGTTAGGGCAAGTGAATGACAAGTTGTTCAGGAGAGGGATTGTTTTATAAAGAGTACACAAAATTCATTGCATTTTGTGGCACTATAAAATCATCGTTAAGCAGTGTATTGCTGCTCGGTATTTGCCATTTTAAATAAACGTTTTCAACTTCAGTATTCTTAAAATATTATTTAGTTGACCTAACTTCTTTTTTTCTTGAATATAGTAATTTGTTTTCATTTAAGGTGGTAAAATGGCAATTTGTTGGCAACTGATTTTAATATATATTTATATATTTTTGTAACATACTAGGAAATGTCTGATTTAAATAAATACAGCCCACCTCCTCAGTCATCAGATCTCTACATGGCAGCTAGCAAACACTTCCAGCAAGCTAAAATGATTCTTGAGAATATTCCTAATCCAGACTATGAGGTAAGAGTGAAATACTGGAAAAAGGAATATTTGCTCATAATAGAGCAAGTGTTTGTTTTCAGCTGGATCTGCTTGAGATCCAAAGTGTACTTTGTCAAAACGCTGAGCAAAGCTGAGTGCTTTAATTAAGGAGTGGACAGAGGAGGGTGGTGGCATCTTACACAGTGGTTTGTTTCAATACATTAGATAATACAATGAGGGTTGTGCTCACTGTTCCAAAACCTCTCTCTGCCGAGTATCTTAGATGCTAGATAGCAACTTAGTTCCTTCTTGCGTGTTGCCTTCTGGCCCCATTCTAAAAGCATATCAGTTTTAACAAGAAGGTGACACATGCCTGCCTCACTTACCTGGAACCTGGTAATTCACACGTACTCCTGAGAGGTGGGGAAAAATAGGTTTGAATGTCATCAGGCTGAAAAGAGGATCGAGTCTGGCACTTGTTTCCTGGAGCAGTTTTCTCAGCACTGGGCTGTAAACACGGGTAGGAATTTCTCCTTCTTTGTCCATAGCCTAAAAACTAAGTCTCTGTGACTGTATTTTGGAGCAAGGAGGATGCTTAATTCTGTTGCTTCTGAGCCGGTTAGAAACAGTTACGAATTAGGTTCTCCTGAGAATTTAGGAATCCCTGCCTGTTCCCTGGATCCTGGTGGTACTCACACATGAGCTATCTGATTGAGGCTAACAGGGTAGTTAGAGGTAGTTTGAGTGTGCCTAGAGAACTTCCATGCAAAAAGCCACCAGTTTGATACCTGAGTTTCCGCTTCTCATCGTGTTTGGATCACAGTGTTGGGGGTAGACGCCTAGAGTCTGTCTAAGCCTTTATTTGGATGAGTGCCTCAGAACTTGCCGTAGTTTAACAATTTTTGAATGTAAACGTGGAGAGCAGTGGTTTCTATGGTCTGTTGAATAAAAAAAGTGACTCTTAAAATAAGTACCCCCTTCATTAAATTTCATTAATCCAGCTGTTATACTTCAAAGCAAATCCAAAATGCCCTGGTCTCTGTTAAACTGATGCTGTAAGAGGACTGCTGTATTGTTAGAGTGTGTGAACATTTGAGTAATTCTGAGGTCACATGCTTTCACTTGAAAACTTAGTGCTGTTTTGTGTTTAGGTCAATCGAATTCTAAAAGTTGCTAAACCCAATATTGTGGTCATGAAGCTGCTGGCAGGAGGCCACAAAAAAGACTCTAAGGTAAGAAAATGCCAGCTGAATTGAATGTGAAATGTAGTATTATACGCAATGCTATCACAGGTCTCTCTCGGAGCTGAATGAGCAGATTCAGGCCATAGTTACTGTAACTCTTAAAAGAACTGGGAAAGTAACTTAATCCATTTTTCCCCTCAGAAATAGTTTGTTGTAGTTATTTAAATATGGAAAACTCTGGCTTCTAAATGTTTGGGGAAAAAAAATTGGGAAGTGCATGTGGGATGGCATGTACAAATATGGGTATTCTTCAAGAGCTGGAAGAAGTAATTGGTAGCAGTGTACCAGCAGCTTGTGCGAACACAATCGGGAGAGTGCTGGCTGTCAGGACTAGCGGGTGCCACGTGGGTCAGAGGGAGGAGAGGGCCTTCAGACTTCCTGCCAAAGGCTAGGCACAGAAGAATGAAGGAGCACGCTGAAGAGACACACCAGCACTCTACAGCTTTGTGCCCATCGCTACTGGAGAATGATTGGCATATCCAGAACTGGGCTGGAATATTTTTCAGATACTGATTTAAAGAGCTAGGATTATGGTTTTTTTCAATCTTTTGCTGTTTAAAAGTTTTTCTTCTACCTGCAGGGTATCCCTCATTTTGAGTATTAAATTCAGTAGTGCTGCTGTGTAATGTTTTAAATCTTTTCTTTCTAGGTTCCTCCAGAATTTGACTTCTCCCCTCATAAATATTTTCCAGTTGTGAAGCTTGTTTGAAAGACAAGAGATTATTGTTATGATACCTGAAGCATAATCTGTGTATCAGGTACCAGCTGTAGGATGGAATACCTAGTGCTGTACCCAGACTGAGAGGGATCTCTAGGATAAAAGTACTGTTATGTGGAATATCTATAGTCTGTCTTCTTTACGTGATCTGAATGACAACTGCTGTTTTAAAGTGGTTTGTATAAAGTTTTACAGGTGAAGCTGATTTTAATCAATTGTATTGTTGAAGAATGCTGTACCTTAATTGATTTTATTACAGATTTAATCATCAATCATTTTTATGAATGAGCTCTAACAGAAAATGGTGGTCTAGGGATTTAATAACATTTGGGACTGAATAAAAATAATGCAGTAGAGCCTTGTGTCTGACAATAGCTCAGCTGTGTCTGAAATTCTTTGAACAAAGCCACTTGGAGAGATTGTGAGTTTCCATGTTTTTGCCTAAATTGCATCAAAGTTGCTCACTTTGCAAGTAGAAAGACTGGGTTCTCTTCTTGCCAAGTCCTGCAAGCTAAAACAATCTTTATAGAAATTAAGAGCAGATGAAAACTCGTCATTTAGCTCCCACTGCACTGAATTTTGTTTTACTGAAGTCAGTCAGTTATCTAGGAGGTATTTTGTCTCAAATGTAGGAGAAGTCCTTGAAGACAGTGAGAAATGGGGTAAGTTATTTCTAGTTGCAGTTTGTTGCTTTGTCTTTATTCTTCCTGGTACTGGAGAATCTGTGTAGCTAACACAGGAACACAGGACATGAGGAATGTGTTTTAACTACTCTATGACTTCATTTCAATCCTGTGATTACTTTGCATTGCAAAGGAGAGATTGCTAATTTGTTCCATTGCTCGGTCAGCTCTTGCATGACCTTCATTCTCTTGCTTGGACTGCAGTGCTGCTGCTGGATCCTACTGCCTTCTGTAACACTTGATATAGGTAGAAATCCCAAACAGGAGGAGCCCTAAACCTACCCTTTCCTTCCTGGAACAGTTCTTCCTCCTGTGCTTCCAGGTGTGAAATGAGAGGTAAGCTGTTGTGCTGAGCAACCTTCTGCTACAAGAGGGGAAAAAAAAGTTTAAAAAGCTGACTTGCTCTTCGCTAAACCATACTGCCAAGTCTTAACCTGGGCCATAAAAGCAAATCCTCCAGGTTTGACTGTGTAAACAGGACAGTGCTTCATTTTGGTGCAAAACGGCTTCCTCCATAGTGATGAGCTTGTAACTCCCTCTTGACCATGCAAGAAATTTTTTCTGTTTCTCCCAACATATAGTTGTACTGTGGAGTAATACCACTTCAACCCCATCACCTAAGCAGCAGCACTGCTGAGCTAGAGCTGGAAAACAATGAAGAAGCTCTGAAGTGGAACACCCGCTTGTCTGCCAGCAATTTTGCACCTTCTTGAAGTAAGCAGGAGTACTGCCCTGAAGACATGTTTTTCCTGAGTTCTCTGCCAAGGAGGTTGCATACCATTTTACATGTTTCTTTATCATCATGATTAATATACTTGCATGCTTCTGTATCATTGCCAAAGGAATGAAAATCCTGGAAAATGCAGTTGTAAAGATGGCAAACTGGTTCTAGTGCAGGGCACTGAGAATTTATCTGGCTTTTGCTACTGCCTTGTGAACAGTCACAAAAATCTTTCCTGTCTTAAAAATCTTGAACCACATGACAGTAGCTCAAGGACAGCCTTCAGTATTTCTCCAAAGGAGGCAGCAAGTAAAAGAGAAACCAAGTTCCACATCATTTATAGAACTAAGAAAACAGGAATGATCATCTTTCCCATTTTCATTAACATTAGAAGTGGATGAACTGTACAGAATAGGGTGACTACACAGTAGAGAAGATTATTTTTAAATGCTTATCTAAAATGGATCAGGCTTAGTTTTTAAAAAAACATCAAGGACAAGTGTTAATTTAACCCCGAGACGATTATAGCAAAGAAGCTTTCCCTGCCTCATGCAACTAAAAATTTTAGTGATAGACAACACTACATAAACCACAGTTCCAAATGTATCTTCTTTTGTTCAGCTGAAAGTCCTTTAATTTTAAAATTCTGTATAGTAGACATATAGGCTCCTTGCCTACTAGAAATCTACCACCCTAATTACATTCCTGTAGCACTTGAAGCCATTGAGAATACGATTGTATTCCTTTATGCTTTTGAACATTGCTCTTACGCAGGTTTTCAGACCCCCTACTGTCAGAGGTGTAACAAGTGTGCTTTGTACAAAGGCGGTCGTCTTTATGGAGAGGACAACAGCTAGCTAGCTAGCAAGAAGCCCAGTCAGGTTTGGGTACTGTACAGAAATACAGCCAAAACAACTTGTTTTAAAATAATTCTCTGGCAATATATTAATCACCTTAAGGATTTTGTTTGTTTGTTTCAGATTTTACCTGTTTCAAGTTAAAGCCGTTCATTCAACTTGAATACCATGTTTCACTGTATTTTATACTGTTGTTGGTATAAAATGTATAAGAGCATACACACTCTTTAACAATCCCTATTAAATTCCTGATTAACTTCATCTCAGCTATATAATTGTTTACAGAGCAAGTCCTAAAAAAATGCCCCTTTTACTCAGAATATGTGTAAACATTTTGATGCTAAAACATGCCATTATTTGCAAAAAATAAATAATAGCCCAAGTTTCCCAATACTTGTCAGCTGGAAGAGATGCTCATACCTCCTTTTCTCTCCTGCTTAGAAGCATTTGTTTTCCCTGCTGTATTGACTGCAGTAGCCCAGACCAGTGAAGTCTGACTTAAATGGTGAAAAAAACAGAGTAACCAAGAAGGCGGTAATGGAAGCTAGTGTTTTTTTTAGAAGAATTCAAGTTACTGTGGCAAGTCTATCAGTGAATTGTTTATGCATTGAGACTTAATAGGCACCACTTGCCTTGAGTTCTGCCTTTCACTCGAGGACAACTAACATTCTTTTCATACACAAAAGAACCAACCTTCCACTCGCATATTTAGGCATCTTAAGGTACAGGCATTGTAAACTAGTACACTGAGGAAGGACACACCACAAAAGTAAGTAGTTACAAAATGAAGTGCATTAAGAGAAAGCCAAGACAAATTTGTATTTTCTTAAATAGAATTGCTGGTTGGGAAGTTAGTCATGTCTGTCTGCTCCCGTGCTGTCTCGACAGAGGTTGGTTCATACTCACAGAGTTTGCTCCATACACAGGTGTCAGTCCTGAGAACAGACACAAACACTATCTTCTAAACAGCTGGCTACACACAATGCAGGCTGGATTGCAGTAAGGGTGCCTTAGTGGTAGTAGAGGGTATTTCTAGCTTATTGCAAGTAAACTAGTTTCTAGTTTACATTCAACGAGTTACAGAAAAGACAAAGGCTGCAGAACATTAACAATGATGTGATACATTGGGCATAATGTAGGACTTCACAACAACTACAGCTTCACCCGTGGGCGACATGGAGATGTCTGGTAAATGCATAGTCTGGTTTACCTTCTTCAAAAGTCTGGCAGAGAAGATTAGTCACTTTGAACAGCTGAGACTGCTGTTCTACAAGGCAAGCATTTGCCTTTCCGCTTTTTAACAGAAGATAGTGGTGGGGTGGAGTAAAGGGTAGTGGTAGCACACCATTTCAGATGGCTTCCGTCATGAAAGATTCAGGAGTTTGAATTTTTACACTCTGAACTTGTGCAAGTTAGTGGTAACTGAACTATACCTAGTACTGATCTTGTCAACAGGGGTCCAACGAAGCTTTCAGAAAAATCTTCCTGCTAATCTCTTAATGAGAAGACGCTATTGTCAGAATCCTTCTTTTTTTAACCTAAAAGCCAGGAATACAACCAGGACAGTGTTTCAGCCTGGTTACAGATAGTATAAGCTAGCAATTTCATTTAGGAGGCCCAGGCAAATGTATCATACTGCATAATATCTGAGGACTATAATCATATTTCTGACTCTACATGGCAGTAAAAAGGTGCCAGAATAGGCACAAGGGTAGACTGCAGCATGGGCCATTTTTCATCCTTCCCATGTTTTGTCAAGTTAGCTCCTCTTAAGCTCCTCTTAAAACTAGGCTGGGGATTTCTCTACTGCTTTGCTCAGGGGAGAGAGCCATCCTTGGCAGAGGACTCTCCATCTACGACCAATCCACACATACTGTTATTGTAGTATGACCATACGAGTTAGCTGACTTCAAAGTTACTACACTTACTGCTAGCTGGTTTCAATTATATAATCGGTAAGAAGGAAAGAGTCATTGGAGAGCTCAAGGTGCTTTAAAACAAGCCTCCAGAGATTTAAGATTAATTTTTTCACCACTGAAACAGTACGAAAACTTCACAAGAAACTACTACTTCATTTGGGCCCTTATTGAAGCCTTGAGAAGATGACAATCAAAACATTCTCAGATCACTTTGCTCTCATCATTGCTGCGTTTATATGAAGAGGTGACTAAGTTGCATCGTGAACCTCCTTTGCTCACAACCTCTCTCGTTCTTCACCTTGCTCAGATAAGTGGTTCTTCATATCTTCAGGGTTTTGAACTAATTAGGGAAAAAGAAAAAGGTACAGAAATCTCTTTAAGAGGCAGAAGTGATAGTTCTTCATCTAGAAAACAATTTAGAACACAGCAGGAGAAATTTTGAAAGGACTGTTAAGTACTGTATAGTATAGTAAAGCTACAGATACTGTCCCTCCCCGCCACATGTTAAACAGTAGCTTCAGTGATGCTACAGAGAAAATAGGTCACACTGCCAACATGAGGGAAAGCTCAAAGAGCAAACAGAAATTAGCTAGCTATATCTGCTACAGGATACCATTCAAAGTATCATCTTAAAATTTTCAGCATGTGGTAATTAGGTTAAAACTTTTTTTTCTTCTTTACCATTTTCAATCCCTGCAAGTGCTGCTTGCTTGTCTGTTTCTGATTCGGCTTCATTCTCATCTAAATTGTAATCAACGTCCTGGTTCAGTGCTGCATGTTCCTGTTTGTCTGGAAAAATGTTAAATTAATTAGTTTTATGCTATACCATAAGGTCATCTGCACAAGAAACAGTTACTGTAACAAACTTCCACAGAATTTACTTTGCTGCTGAATGAATTGCTGTTTAGAGTAGGTTTTCATACTATTTTTCCTTTTGAACTGTTAAATTTCAGAGCAGCTTTTGCTGTAAATGTTGTCCAAAGAACTAGATAAAAGATAGAATCTTTTCGGATTTGGAAAGTGTAATAAAATTCAGTCAGCACTCAGATGGACAGAAAGGAAAAGCATTAAACAACTTCAGAATTCATTAAAGGACAGCCTAAGGAAGAGTAAAACCTGAAGCCAATGCTGAAAACTTGACTGTGGTGTTACTTTTAAATGTATTCGGGAATACATTTAAAAGTATCTGGGCTTCCCCGCTTCTGGTTTTAGTTTGTCCACCAAGCAGAAAGCTGTGAATATAGCATTTAAAAAAAAAAAAAGAGTATTTTATGATATGCTAACTTGACACAAAAGTGCTTTTCTGTAAGAGATTTTTCTTCACCCAGTCATTAATTCATCTCAAGCAACTTTTATTGACTATCTCAAGATTTCTTTATGTGGAGAGCTCAGAAGTAAATGGAAACGCTATTTCTGATTGCCAGACTACTACCCTTATTTTTCAATTAAGCAGCCAAAAAAATTGTAACGACACAGAGGTATAAGCATACCCCAGTTAAGAGAGACCGGAGTCTCTGATTCTGAATGTTCTCAAGCCAAGCCCTCTGATTAGTAACTGGCTTAGAAACAGGCTTGAAAATTTTTAGCCTTAAGTTGTTCACATTCAGACCACCACATCAAATACAGATTTTTAGAGTTACAGACCTAAAGTTCTCAAACTTTTGAAAGAACCTTTATTGAAAGAGAGAGGATGCTCGGAGAATGTAGAAGAAATCTTTTTCCTGCCTTGGGTTCCTTTGGCTACAAGGAACCTATGCAGTAAGGTATGGTATGTTTCAATCAAGCCTGAAGAACATCCTGCTAGTCTGTCTAGCTCACAGAAACTGACCTTTCACAGGCGACACGGCAGAGTTTTTTCTTGCACTAATTGTTAGATGCTTTTCTTGCCTTATCTGTCTGCTACTTATTTCTGTTAAAATGGAAGCAGTTTAGGTAAGCTACGTATTCACATCTCTTTGGGGGACAGCCTGCTCTGGCCAGCATCTTTTTGGGGCAGTTGAAAAAATATTACTTTAGCAACGCAGATGAGATTATTTATCCCTGCCAAGTTATCAACAGTGTTAATTTAACATCATTACTTACGATTCTATGGATGTGTTTACTAGAAAAGCATAAACAGCTTTTTTTGTGGGCATCAATTCCTGCTCTGACTGCCATAAGGCTTCCTCTTGATTACTCTGTCTGGGCTACTGGGTCTGCCTGAGACCGAGTTCCTCAAGACAGACAGAGGGATGTCTAGATTCTGGTCAGGTTTAGGCACAACATCAAAACTCTCATGCTCGGTGCTGTGGAGACACATGGTTCAGTGTCACGTGTGGTAGATGCCACAAAGTGGCACCTTTGCAACATCTGATCTGCAGTTTTGCAGACACACATTAATAAACTTTAGATACCTGAGGTCTTAGGTCGAGGTTTATTCATGCTAGCTTATTCTGAAATAGGGATAGCTAGCATTTACACAGTGACGCTATAAAAGACTATCTGCAAAACGTCAATACGTAGTCTCTCTCTACTCATCAGTGCTTTGGATGGTTAACGTCTCATCCTTTTCAAATGCATCATATTCTTATAAAGCCTCAATGCCAAAAATTTTCGGGGCTAATTTCCCCAAATGCCTTGTGCAGCTGATGGAGAGAGAGACAGGAAGGCTGCTATGGTGATGCAGAAGAACCCAGCCTGGTAGCTCCGTGTTGCACAAACAGAAGCCTCCATCTTTACCCACTGGCGGCAGATGACTGCTAGGGACTGACTAACCTTTACATCTCGCACTAACCTTTATGAAACCTTATACTAAGTCCGGCCAGCTGCCACCACTGTTCCAGAAATCACGCCCTATTCCACACCTTCATTTCTTTACTGTTCTTAACAATACGTGACATGCTACCAACCAGCCTTTCCAGGGGGCAAGTCATCCTGCTTAGCATCGTAATTCAGGAGTTGCTCCCTCTCAATTTCCTCACTGGCAGCCTGCTCTGCTGCCGGCGGTAGCACATCTTGCCCCGCTACACGTTTTTCATCTTCAGATGGATTCAGCTCCTTCTCTGACTTGGGCAGCATCTCCTCATGACCTGCAGCAGCCTTGAGTGAATCCTGTGGGGCTTTCAGTTCGGTAGAAAGCTTCTCTTCTGCCTTAGGCTCCTGTTTTCTGATGTCAGCTAGGCCGTTTATCCCTTCTGTAAACAATAAAAATTATTCTGAATAAGAAACCTAATGCCTTTCAGTGGCGGCACAAGCTAAAAACCTTTAATAAATACTGCTTTATCTTTCTCATTCAATTTTTGTTCTTCCTCTGAAAGAATATCTTTCAACCATGTCAGTTCCAAAGAGAGAGACAAAGACGACACCCATGTTTTTCCTACTGGGAACAGCTAAAGGATGAGACTTGTAGAGTCTACTGTGGCATTGTTTACTGTAACAAAGTCATGCTTCTACCTACTTAAAATTTTGGTATGTGCAGTTAATAAATTGGGCAGGTGAAACAGAGCAGTTTAAATAAAAATTGCAGTGTGCTATGTAAGCATCAGGTTTCTGTGTGTTACATTTCATTACTAACAATAGAACTGATCTGGTGTTCAAAAGTAGCTCAGGACAAAGCAGTCACATGGGCAGATTTGCAAGTAAATCAAGGCTGTTCTTATTTTCAAATACGAAGAGGAAGTGCAGGAGGGCTATTACTTTTGGCAGACATTACCATATCTTTTTTTCCCCGTGTATCTGCATTTTTAACTACAAAAATCATGACAAAATTTGCCAGAATAAACTATATATAGATGTTGTCTTCAATCGCTAGCTCTCTAAAATAAGAGTTGCATACTCCTAAGATTGTAATTTAAGATAGCATGTAAGAATAATTAAATAGGAAATTGAATATCAATCACACACAGTGCTATGCAAGACTGACACACTAGGATACATCCATTCACATCAACAGTTTCTGAGAGTTCAGTGCCAAAAGCAGCCATTAGGTTAACTAATCTGATCTCCTGTGTATCGTTTCCCTTACTTGCATTTTGCTTAGTGACAACACATGGGAAGCACGGATGTGTGTTTGTTTAAAGCCTAACTTTCAGCTATTCCGTAGGATGGTGTAGCAGGCTAGATGTGTCAAACTTACTAAAAAAGCAGATTTTAAACATGCTTGAAAATCGTTGCTTCCAAAAGCAGGATATTTTCCTCGATATTAAATGAGGAATAAGACTCCAGAATTGTAAATATTTGTATTTTCATTTACATGCAACATGTCAATTACAAAACTGAACCAGTAGAAATGCTAGTAATAAAAATGCTTGAATAGATATTACACCTCTCCGCAGCTGGAAAATTGATGGTAGTTCAGTCTACTGGTGTCACTTTTTCCATCTTAATCTTGTGTACAAAGATGTTCTTTAAATGTTCAATTAAATTACAAATGTTCTTAACCTGTCGCTAGTGAGATAGTGATTTCCAGCTCACCTTTAGCCTGCAGCAAGTCTATCTTTTTTACTGTAGGTACTGCTTTAGGTACATCTTCGTTGTGTTTCTGCTGTTCCAAGTCAGCCTGCTTGAACTCGGTTTGCTTCAAGGCTGGCAGTTGAATATTAACCTATAAAGTGAATGTACACAGATAAACATTGGTCTGTGTAACTACTCCTGGATTTGGAAAGGGAAGTGGAAGTTAGGTAAGAATTCAGTAGGGGAAAAAAATCCTAAAACACTCGGACATATTTGGACTGAAATTTTTATTGGTGATGGTACCATACAATCTTGAATATGCGGTGATGTTTCTATATAACAGCACAACACATCGGGAGAATTTAACACACCTTCTTTAATCTAATTGCAGCTAACTGTGAGGTTACTGTTCTTGGTTAGTGTTTCACAAGAAACACCTGTTGCTCTCTGAGGGTCACAGAAGTGTAACACCAGACACTTCTCCACCATTGCTCTGCTACTGTGTCAGGGTCAGCAGAGCGAAAAAACAGATGGCATTAACTACTGTTAGTAATCTACAGGGACAGGTAAACTGAGTTTGGGCATAATAAGACTTCAATTAAGCAAGCCTGTACAGAACTGGTCTAAAACCATGTTGAATGCAGGATTAAGAGAAGAAAAACATAAATCAACCAACTAGACAGCAGCATCTGTTTAGCGTGATGGAGCTTATTTAAGAACGTATTAAATACTGGTACTAGACTGCTCTAGCATCTGACCCATCTGACATGCTTGAAGATTAATGGCTAAGATGTACACCACCTTGAAGATCTTCCAATTTAGCAATTAAAATCCTATGTATAACTTTTACTCATATTAGCATTTAATTGGCTGAGAGCTATGATGTCAATTCAGTTCACACAAACACTGAACACATGAAATGTGCCTGGAGCTCGTGCTGCGCTACACCAGCTTCAGCGCAGAAAAACAGACTGTAATGAAACTGTTTGTTCTATGGGGATTTTTTTTTTGTTGGGTTTTTCTTTGTTTATAAAAATCAGAAGACGCAGAGAAAGAACAAGCATACAGACATTTAGAGACATAAACCTTCTTATACCTGGTACTATACAAATGAATAGGAAACCTTATGGTATAGAAAGTCATACAGTCAACAGAAAGTTTTCTGTTACGATTGTTGATAAGACTAGCTACCCGTTGTTCTCAGCAGGTCAATAAAACACTAGGTTGTCAAGTGTTCACACAGTCATTTGGAAAAAAGTCTGCAGAAAGAAGTGGTTAAATAACCGAGAAGCCAAAGCTGTAGAGGATTTGTAGGATATGATTACGTGGCTGTTGTGAAAATGTTTAAGCTCAGCCAAAACCAGGCAGAACTAAGGACCTTTTTGGGTCAACACCATGAAGTCCAACATCAACAACAAATAATCTAACATTAACTCTTACGAAAGCTTGAGAAGCAAGACCACAGAATATTTGGTTATTGCACTAAGGATATTCAGAAGAACTCCATCTTCCTTCAGTCAATAAAACAAAAATGCTGTATTTAAAAATGCTTCTGTTCTATAAATAATTCAGCCTCTTGAGGTCACTCTCTACAGTAGAAATAATCCGAAGCTGAACGTAAGACCATTTCTCACTTTATGCTGGGCATGAATTCTTCTGTAAAATTACTGAGCCTGCACTTAATAGCAAGAAATTACCTCTTGATTAAACATACAAAAGCCCTTAACTTATCATAAATTTCTAGCTCAGTAATTTTTAATGATGGTGTCAAATAAATTAAAAAGGATGTACACTGAAAATTTTTTAAGTTGAGGTGGTTGGATAAAAAGATAATAATTGGAACATGTATATTCCTCAACCGAGAAGTATACATCATTCTTTAAAATACAGAGCTGTACGAAAAACTGTATATTTATTAAGCAACCAACACTCCATTTTCTTTCTCTGTTTTATTTTAACTCTGACCTTTCCATGTACATCTTACAAACAGGAATTATTCCAGCTAAAAACGCTGGCTAAAGACGTTCATAGATTTCCCCAGGGTCACCTTGCACTAATGATAAATAACTCAGCTTCTGTACAAGCAAAGAGTTGCAATCCTTGGGCAAAAAACTGAGAAGGTTACAGCTTGACATAAGAAACACTGTCACAGATACTAGGGAACACAAGCAGACGAAATTTATTTAGGCTGTAGCTGTATTAGTGGTTATCTCATCTGGGACCATCCCATCTATAGATTAAAAGGAGAACAGATAACCTGCCCTGCCTAACCTGCTGCCTACTTTGAGTAAAGATTCCCTCCAGCTATGGGACTTGTTGCAGGAGACTGAAAGTGTCCTGCAGAGGGGCTTCAGCCAAACTCCCCAGGCTCCTTCTGGGATGATTTCCCTTCCAAACTGGAAATGGGGGAAAAAAACCCAAAAACAACCAAACCCCAAACCAACCAAACAAAAAAAAGCATCTGGTACAAGTAATGTAAACAAAAATCTGCTGCAAAGCAACACTAGAAATTAAATTTACCACCTCTCTAGTACAGTCTTCCCCACATCAACTTTCCAAATAGTATTTTACGTCTTGACATTAAACAAGATATATTTGTTTGACCGACAAATGTATCATCTCCAGATGATGGGCTTTTTACTTACTACTACATATTTACTGTTACTAGTGTTACTTTTCATTTACTACTTTGACACTGTTGATAAAAAATATTGACAAACAAGAGCTTTCACTTTCTTTTTTTTAAGGGATAACTGGCTAGCATTTCCCATCTCTAATGCTTCATTCGCCTTGCAGGTCTCATACAATGCAGGTTCCCAGGATAAAAGGTCACAAACTTTGGCAGTTCTCTCTCCCACCATTTTACATAAAGGACTGGACACAGACTGGAACCATTACCGGAACACCTAGGGGTCTCTGGGCAGATGTTTCAGCCATTTTCTCCCACCCATTTCCAGCTTTTTGCAAAACCCAGCTTCAACCCTCGTTGCTTTACCCTTTCCGCTTCTGAAATCATCAAATTGTTTCTTCTAGTAGCCTTTTCCTAGCCAAAGAGAAAAGGGCATATACCACCAAGCCCGCACTGCCTTTGCAATGAGAGTTGGCCACCCAGGTATGGGGGAAAGGCCCCACTGCAATCACATGTGAAAAATGTAACTTCTGTAACTGGTGCTCACAGGCCTGAAGAAAAGGCTACTTCGGTACACAGAAATAAATTAGTTGCCTTCTCGTCCAGGAGCTTCATTGCAAGTTTCCAGGGCCATCTGTATCAAGCTTAACCAATGAAGTCCTATCCCTGACCAAATCCTGCTTCACTGAGGAAGCATCAATAATTCGCATGCCAAGACAACAGGATGATCTGAAATGTCCTTTTCTCAGGACTTCCTCCTGCCCTCTGTACCCCAGGAAGAGAGAGTCTCAGAAACACAGTGATTTGGAGTCTCCTGCAGGACCTCTGCCTTGTTCTGTCCTTGGAATCATTCCATTTCCCATAGATCAGAAACAGTCAACAAATATGAAAGAAAGCAGTGCAAAACATAATGAGATGGGCTAATGTTAGTTAGAGATAGCAGAAAGGTGAAAAACCCCTTAAAAATTACAAAGAAAAAGATTCTTAAGAATTGACCCAAACCATACCTGGCTGGTTTTTTTTGAATCTTCTGAGAAGTCTTTGTTTTCTTTGATTTGTGGTACATCACTACCCTTTTTCGTAAGTTCATCTATCCTTTCTTCACATTGTTCTTTTAATTCTTTCATCTGGTTGATGCACTGTGACCTGGAGAAAATATGAACAAGTGAGCAGTTGTTAACTTTCATCCACACTCTTCTAAAATGTTCTTTTGTAAAATGATTTATTCCTTTTTTTTTTTCCTTTTATTATTTTCTTAGTTCTGTTATCTGTGCTTACATTTGAGAAGTCAGTAGGAAAAAATGGGGTGTTCACCTAAGTGCTAAGGACAAACTCATGGTGCAAGCCGTCCAAGTTCTACTGGAAGAAATTAATTTAAACTGCTTTTGTTAGACCAGCTCAACAAGCTACATGCATTTTCTTGTCTTTCGCTAACCAGTCAGTTTCAGTTTCACCAAAATCAATTTTGATCCCTGAAGCACTTCTAGTATGATAACAGAAATGTGTATTTGGATTTTAGCTAGGAAGAGGAAACAGCAGGGTACTAGTCGAAATAAAAAACAGGTGTAAGCTACTGCTAGCAAACTGAACACCCTTTCTTAGTGCAGTGCTGCAAGACATAACAAAACATGTTACAGAAATGGAGTTCATCAGTAGCTATTTTAAGTTCCAAAAGGAATATTTCCTAAAGATGCAAGTGTTGTGTATCTTTTATATACTTTTAATAGTCACAGTGCCATTAGTGCCTTAACCATCGTGACACCAGGGGTCTTCTGCTTGCAGTTCTGTAGCCTGCCTTTCCCTCACAGCTCCGTAAGCTCTAGATAAGCCCTAGGCTGTTGCAGCAGCGTTTTCCCCTTTTGTGGCTGTGCTGAGGCTCCTGTGCAAGCCCCAGGAGTGTTGTCAAGCTGGGTTTCTCACGCGAAGTGACTGCCAGCAGGGCAAGATCACCCCTTCCCCCCCACTCTCTTCATAACCCGTTTTGTTACTTTTGGTTTATATTAGTGGAAGAACAAGACCTAGTGAGTAACAAGGCAGATAAGCATTACCCCGTAACACACATGCAGGAGGCTTAGAAGCCAGTCATCATACATCCCCAAGTATGCTTTGATCCCACCGTGAACAGGAACAAGCAAGAGTGGGTTTGAGTGGATCCTGATGAGAAGTGCATCATGCCAGAGGAAAATGTGGTGGAAAAGCAGCAGCAGCAGCAGCAGCACCCACTGCATTGGAGAGCATGGCCAAGGAAGAGGTTTGGCTGGGGACCACTCTGCTTCTCTTCCCTGCTGGCCCCAGCAGCACAGGAGTTTGTTGGGGTTTTTTAAACCCTTTTTTCCTTTCTCTCTCTCCCCTTCTTTTTTTTTCCACTCTAAGTAACTTTCTCTCTCTCTCCCCTTTGTTTTTTTCCCACTCTAAGGTAACTTTGAGTTCAATGTATACCATCGGCTACAGACCCTGCAAACGCATCTTTCTGCATGTAAAACCTCTGTGGACAACATCATGGTCAACATACTGCACGTTTTACCTCCTCCTCACTAAGACAGAAGGGGGATGAATTTCTGGGCCTGGCTCTGGCAGACTGTCAATAACCCCGGTGTAACAGCAGCTGGTTCAGACAGGCCTGTTCCAGTTCCTCAAGTTGCAAATAAGCCACTACCTAATCCAGAGGAATTCTCAGGGCACGTGCTACAACAGCGAGTCACTCATTTTTATCCTTCTCCACATACACCCCCTTTTAAAAGCAAAAAATCTATTCTATAGTTCATCCCAGAACGGAAGAGGAGCAGTAGACAGATATGCTATGAACTGGCAAATTAATTACCTTTATGAACTGACAAATTAATTACCTTTATTACTGTTTCTTCTTGACTAGGCATTGTTCTAAAGTCTGATTTTGGTAATGCTTATACATGGAACAGTCATCAAAATAGGCAGTGCTTCATAAGTCGGTGAACATCAGAGACAATAAAACAACACACATTCACTATGAATGAGTTATGCACACATTCACTAATTTCTAGGAAATAAAAGGACATCAGAATTGCCTGCACCTCAGTTTGCAAGCTTGAGAAAGATGCAGTATACAGGCAACCTGAAGTTGGAGATAGAGCAACCTTGCATACATGCTCTTTCATACCACAGTGCACATGAAAATAAAGTTCATTTAACATCTGTGAAAAATCCTCATAATTTTTAATTTATTATCTGCGAAGGAATCCCTTCTTGTAAAAGGAATTTCTGGAGATTTGAATACTCTACTTATGGATACAACAACTTCTGAAGCACAAGAACAGCACTGGTTTCTCCACCTCACCCTATAAACATGACATACTTCAAATGTGCAAAACCAGTGCTCTTGAATTCAGTCTCTGCAGTGAGTTTTCTCTTTCACAAGATTAAAGAGAGTTAGTTTCTGTGATAAAGAGCTCACCTGTGCACACACAAAGGAGCCCAAGTAATACCTTCCCCAGCTGCTCCCAGGCCCATCACAGGAGCCATCAGCCCATCCAAGGCCTACCTCCATGAGCCCAAAGGAGCACAGAGGCACAAGGGCAGCAGGGAGCCTAAATTATGGACCCAGAAGAAGGGACACCCGTCCAGACCACCCCACAGCCCCAGGGCTGTCTCAGGTGAGCCTCAGCCCTCGTGTCCAGGCGTGAAATCCATCAAGATGAGTCAACAGGACCAAGGTGTTTCCTACCCAGGGTGGGGGACACATTATGGGATGCAGGGGTAGAGCATGTCAGGATTGCACAAACCTTATTATGGGACCAAAGGCAGGGAAAGGGATAGATCTCCGGTAGGAGCAAGCATGAGAAAAGAGAGACGTAAGGGGATAAACAAAATCGGTCGCATGTAAACACGTTTCTGGTCCGTGTGCTTGTCTGGCCTTGCCCTACAGTTGATCAGCAGTCTGTCCCATTTCTTACTAAATGCCTTTTTAACTCTCTCCTGGGTGAGGGACTCTCTATTCAGCCTGTGTATGTGTGTGTAAAGGGGCGTGAGGCAGCAGCTGGAGTCAACCTGGGGTGGGAGGGCTGTGCGTGGGTGTTGCGGAGACTGGTGCCAGCCGGTACGTATGTACACGAGCACGTTTTGCACTAGCGAACCTCCACCCTCAGGGGAGCGGTATAAGGCTACTGGTGGTGTTCATGCCCATGTGAGTGCTTCGTGTCTCCATGTTAACCTGCATACCTGGCCACTTACAGGCATGCTCTACGTGCATGGGAATGCACGTGCAGCCTCCCCTCCCAGACTGCTGGATTTGCTGCCTCCAGCCCCACCGTGAGAAACAGAGCACCTTTGTCCTCCAGGAGCATATATCATCAGCTCCTTTCATCCCTGCCAAAAAAGATTACTCGTGCACTCACACTCTTACACTTGTCAGGGCTGCAAATACCAAACTAATTATCAGACTTTTTACAGGTAGCAAAATTTCCAAAGAAGTGGCTACATAACAAACAAAGCACCTAAGAATCAAAATGCATCCGAGTATTGAAATACTCGCTCTGGTTGCTGCAGGGGAGAAGGGTCAGTGCTGCCAGTCAGCCTTTGCTGAACAAGCTCTACCGCAAGCAAACAGCACTGGGCTCAGTGTGCACCAAGGGTATCTCAGTAAGTTGATTGCTGAGGAACACGCACTCCTTTTGCACACAATACCAGTAAGCTCACATAACTCCTGCTGACTTCTGTATGGAAAACATAAGCTTGCTCAAAATAAAAAAAAAAAGGTAAGATGAAACTTCAAGACTTGGGCATGAGAAAAACCAATTATTTTTGTGCCTCTAAGTTAACAAATTTTGTTCTTATGCATTCCACACACACAACCGATTTTATCACTGTCTTCTACAGTGCAATATCCGATTGTTTAAAAAGAGTGACTTACAATGTGTCCATTTAAAAAAAGGCATTTGACTTCTGTCATCTTTTTATAACATTTTCAATTATACAGTAATACTCTCTCTCCATTTTTCCACTGGGCAAAGTGTACTTGATACATAAGGTGCAAAACCTTTGTCCACCCAACTCCAAGTCAAAGGAAGAAACACTGGCGTAGCACAAAAACAGGTCTAACACCCCCTCCTGCCAAGGCCTACTAAAGATGAACAGAGAGGCAACATGTTGGTTTAATCCTAATACTGAGGGGAGGAAGGAAGACAGATTAAAAGTAACATTTTGAGTCTTTCTAATAATACTTGTTTTTCTAGGCCTATAATCACATTGGAAAAAGGTTGGTTGTAAGCATTTACAATGACAGTACTAAGTAAGCATTTAGTAACAGCAGAGGACTGTATGCAACCAAGTACAATCAGATGTATGTTTCTACAACTACCAAAACGCAATGCAAAGTTAGTAATGTAACTTACTACAACAATGAAATATTAATGTTCCAACATCCCCCCTAAAGGTACACAACAAGCAACATTTAAAACATACATTTATATAAGTTCCTGCTAGAATTGTGCGAATGTTACAGGGTGCCCAAGCTATAAAGCATTCCATGAAAATCTGAGTGCAAAGTTTGTTTTCCTCACTTGCATAGCTACAAAAAAATCCAGAAATAGAAAATGAGCACTTAAGTGTTGTTCAGCAAAGCTAGTGAAGAAAGCATAGCTCCTTAAATGAGATAAGTGCTTTTATGGACTCCAATGGAGAGACTGCAGGAAGTAGTGCACCTGCCTCAGGACCAGCTGGAGGCAGACCAGCTAGCCAAGTCCCTGTTCAGCTAGCACATGGCTGAATTATCGTGCCTGTCTCTACATCTACCCTGACGCAAGCAAACCCATCCTCACCACTGTCACTTGTTTAGCCCTCCACCTTGAGCCAGCCTTGAGCCTGGAGCTGTACCCTCCGGATCCAACCTTCTTGTGTTAAAAAAAGAGGGATTCTTTACAATACACTCCCACGAGCAGGGATGCTCTGTCGGTGATTTCCTCAATGGAGCTGTACTTGAAAACATTTCACCTGACATGGGCAATAAACCTGAGTTTTCAGAAACCAGACTCACTACATTTGCCTCGTATCACTTCCCTGCACATGTGTATCAATCCAGTGCTTCAAGGATGTACCTCTCACGTAGAGCATGACTGTACAGCACATATATATACCTACAGATCCATTTACCCTTGCTGATCTCAGCCTTACAAGGAAGATGCTGGCAAACAGATACTCTAACTAGCAAAGAACTATCAACAGAGGTCCAGCAGTTCCAGCTCTTGTCATTTAACTAAACAGCAAAGAGATGGTGCTTAACAACTGCAGTACACAACAAACTTGGAGGGAAAAAGTACCATAACTGACACATAAGTGCAAAGTGGCTTAATAAAAGGTTGGTACAAACTTAAGTCTCCAACTTCCTTCTACCTTTCTGTTAGAAGTCCTAAATTATTGGAACTCCTCTAATACAATCCACCTGGTTCATCATTATTAAATAAGTAATAATGCCCTGAAACAAGAGTAGAAAAGTACTAATACTAATCCTTAATTCTTAAGCAGGGGGAAAAAAAAAAAGAAAAAAGGTATTTCAAGTTTGATTGCCATGTTGACCTTTTAGTCATAATTCCTACAGAATCTGGCTGAACAGCGGCTGCTGGAAAAATATGTATCACTAGAGCAATTATATTCTTGATGGAAAATCATTATGAGACCATGCAAACAGCAGATTCTGTTCTTTTCTATATCTACGCACCAGAGGGAAGATACAAGAGGATGTGAAGACAGGTAGAGGGAACAAGAATATTATTGCACAGAAAGAACCCAGGAGACATTTCTAGAAATACCAGAAATGTTTATTTAGTGTAAGGATACTGATAAGTACTTGCGTTCAGTTATCCATGCCTTATAATTCAGTAGGAAATCTCAACAAAAAACATGACTAGGTATGAAATGTAATGAGAACACATAGTTCTGACCATAACTGTACCACAGATTTTCTGAGACCTCTGGCAGCTCAATGAGGTACTGCTTCCCATCGGGCACTCCTGTATCTTAGTTCTTAAGTTTAGCCTCTTTATGTCTCAATTTTCCTCCCCACTCTTAAATGAGAATACTGCTACCTTTCTCCTCCTGCAATGGAAGGAACATCAAGAAGTGTGGGAGAAGTCTGTGGATACTGAGATATCGAGCGTTGCAAGGTCTACGCCCTTCTCCAAGACCAACTCTGAGCAATTTTAGAAGATGTGTCAGGTGTTACTTTCTCCTTAAAACTGTACATTTACTAACAGTGCTATAGGTATCACAAGAATACTCTGGGTTATAACCAAGTCACCTACAACTCTGGAAGCCATCTTTTAGAAAGAACATACTTACAGGTCATATGAGAACTTCTTCTGAAGGTTAGTCTGGTTCTTCTGAAACCAGTGAACATCCATCTGTAGCTTTCTATATTCTGTCTGTAAGTCTTTCAAGTGTTCTGATCAAAACAGGATTAAAATATATATTAAAATACACACACATATACACCTACATATATTACAACAGAAGTGTCAAACAACAGATCGGTAGTAAGCACACTAACTCCATCCATCTGTCACGCTCACTACATTTTTGTGTACAAATGCATAGATAATTGTTGAATTTATTCATCAAAGATGCACAGGATTGGGTAAGAGTAGCCTTTCAGCCTAACATATTAACAAAAACAGTGTAACATAGATTTTTTACCTCCTTTTCTTCATAAGGCATACTCTAACTCGTTTGCAAACCCTTGTTCTGCTAGGTCTCAGCCCAGGAAATCTTTAGATCTACAAAATACTAATCAGAACATAGTATGAAATGGCATTCATGTTTACTAGCCACCTAAAGACAAGCTTACAATCCTTCCCTGAACAATATGCAATTTATAGTTATGTTCCTCAAAAACAGAGGCATCTATGATTTAGCATTTTCTTCCTGATGGAAAGCTCTGTGTAAGGGCACCAAAAGAAGGCACCACAACGTATTTACCTATTTATAGAACTTAGGATCCATTCCCCAGACTTCCTGAGGAATAAATTGCTAACAACAATTTTGAAGTACCCACACAAATGGAATAGACTAGACCAAGTTTTCTTATTTAATATAAGAGCTTGTGAATTCCCCTGGTGCTAAAATGCACAACCCAAACACCTCAGGTAGGAATGCAGAAATACACTGCAAAAGGTAGAATGAAGAATAAATACATTAACAATGCACGCAGAAGCTAGTTTTGTTCTGTATTGTTTTATATCATAAAGGTCAGGAGTCCTACATCAAGCACTACATGGACAAACCCTTCTACCGTTGAGGCAGATTAGTCTGACACTTCACTGAACTCTGCAGATGTAGGATCTAAGTCACCACAGCTCCTGCACCGTCCCCATGACTTGAAGGAAGGCAGCATTCTCGGAAGACACCAGAAAAATGCCAGTCTTAAAAACAGAGGGCTTAAAAACCAGTATGAGAGAGATGCAGAGGGGTATTATGACACACCTCGTAGACTCTGGACCAATTGTTCATTTACTGTGATGTTACTCATCAGCACTGCCTGGAAGGACCAAAACAGAAAACAATGTTTTAATTGAAAAGGACCTGTGTTACCATTAAAATTACAAACAACACCAACCAAAGCATTTGTAACAAGATCTTTTCTTTGCAAAGTGCTGGGTTACAGCCAAACATAAAAACTTTTAGCTGCTCTAGAGATTTACTATTACCAACAACAAACACTCATTTTAACCCAGATTTCCCAGTAAACGGGGGGGGGGGGCAGAAGATATCACTGCACTTAAATAAAATTTAAAGAGAAGAATTTAAAGAGTCCGCTACTAAAATTGCTTGCTGCTTTATTCTGGTTTGATCTCACAGTTGCAGTCACAGTCAGATTTACTGTATTTATCCCTTGCAGGAAGAATACAGCGTAGCACAGCTCGCTATCAACTACCCTCTCACCAGGGAATCAATAAACCTGCATTCAGGCATGCAAGGATAAGCTATGAAAGCATTAGTCATAGAGCACAAAGAACTGTACGAAAGTAATGTGGAGCTATTGCATTTTATCACTTTTATAACTATCCTCTTCCTCACTTTGATAAGAAAGTGCTGGAGTGACCTTCTTCCATTCCCTCACTTTGCTCTCATTCTGAAGAGGCAGACAACATGGGAACATGTTTTGTCTGTTCTTTCATGAGTCCCCCTCTACCACCCCATATATACACATCCCCCAAACACCTGAATATTGACAGAACTAAGGCAAGTATAAATGAAATTAACTCCTGTGAGCCAGATGTCAGGGTAACTCACAGTTATATTTAACATTTAGAAAGTCTGATGCAGAAGAGTCTTCTTAAGACTACAAAAAGATGAGATCCACTGACCCTTCAGAAACGATCCAGTCCAGTCTTAGGAGCACATTTCTTACGCTTCACCGCCGATTTCCTCATTACCCTTCTCCGAGGAAACCCCAGTGTTCTGCAGGGGTCCCAGATGAGGATACAGCAAGTTCCCAGTTTCTGCTCAAGTACTGATGTGTACGTATGTCAACACCACTTTAATACAAAAAAATAACCTGCATCCATTCTGTCTGCCCAAGTCACCCTGAAACACTGACAGTGTCTTTTTCATGAAGACTACAGTAATAAGTGACAGTTGATTAGGAAAAGCGAAACGTTCAATCAATCTGAGTTGGACAGCACATAGCAGAGAGGTACATTTGTCTTTGTGTACCCATTAAAGAGCCCCAGCTCAAAGAGGCGGTCATTCACATGTTGATGAAGAGGCAGCCATTTTCAACCCAATAAAAGAAATATTCCTACACCACTTTATACATACAGCCGATCCGTGAACACCACTGTGAAACCTCAAGAGCAAAGGCCTTGCTCCTTTGTTAAAAAGGAAACAATAATAACAACAACATGAATAACAACATGCACTTAGGATTGCTTAATACCTCTCCCTCTCCTTTCTCATAGGACAGGTAAAAAAAAAAGGCTCTGGATTTGTTTTCACTGGTTTATTGGGGAAAGGAAGTTAATGTTTCCAAGGAAATGCCAAGTCTTGCTAATCCGTGGGCAATGTAATCAGGCTGTGCCATGATTATCACCTTCAGGGTTTCCAGCACTGGCCATTACCAGAAACTGTCAATGGACTAGAAAAATCAGTATGACATGGCAATTTTATGTTCCCACAGTTTGTTGTGTTGTGTTTTGTTTTTTTTTTTCCTTAAAATGAAATTCCCAAATCATAGAATAGTTTAGGTTGGAAGGGACCTCTAAAGGTCACCTAGTCCAACCCCCCTGCAATAAGCAGGGACATCTTCAACTAGATCAGGTTGCTCAGAGCCCCGTCCAACCTGACCTGGAATGTTTCCAGGGATGGGGCATCCACCACCTCTCTGGGCAACCTGTTCCAGTGCTTCACCACCCTCAGCGTAAAAAATTTCTTCCTTATATCTATTCCAAATCTACCCCCCTTTAGTTTAAAGCCATTCCCCCTTGTCCTGTCGCAACAGGCCCTGCTAAAAAGTCTGCCACCATCTTTTTTATAAGCCCCCTTTAAGTACTGATAGGCTGCAATAAGGTCTCCCCAAAGCC